ACTAGTTAAGCTCACGCAGGGTCCACCTGGGCGGGTTTTGATAGATAGTTTTAAATTCAGCAGGAGCAAAGTATTTAATTTTCCATTTCTTCGTTCCTGTGTCAGGCTTTACTGAACACCTCAAGGGCAGATTTACTTATTTATAAGAGAGGGAGAGAGCATGTGTGCGTGATTGATTTTGGTGGGGAGGGGCAGAGAGAGAGGGAGAGAGAACCTCCAGTGGATTCCCTGCTGAGCGCAGACCACAGCATGGGGCTCGATCTTAGACCTTGAGATCACCACCCGATTGGAAACCAAGAGTTGGATGCTTAACTGACTCTGCCACTCAGGTGCCAAGTTTCTTTTTTTTTAATTTTTGAGAGCTTTATTGAAGTCTAATTTACATACCATTAAAAAAACTACCTCTTGTGAGTGTACAATGCAGTGATTTTGAAAATTTTTTATTTATTTTAGAGAGAGAGAGAGAGAGAGACAAGGGTGCACATAAGGCGGTGGGTGGGGAAGGGTCTTAAGTAGACTGTGCACTGAGTGCCGAGTCCGCTGTGGGACTTGATCTCGTGACCCTGAGATCACCACCGGAGTGGAAACCAAGAGTCATCTGCCTAACCAACTGTGGCACCCACGCGCCCCCTGCAGTGATTTTTAAAATTCCATAAATTTATGGAGTTGTACAACCATCAACACACCCAGTTTGAGAACATTTTCCTTATACCTATTTTCTATTATGCAAGTTGACAGTTAATCCCCAATTCCAGCCTTAGACAACCACTAATTGACTTTTGGTTTCCAAATATTTACCTTCTCTCAACATTTCATGGACTCCTACAACATGTGGCTTTTTGGGTCTCACTTCTTTCCATTGGCATAATATTTTCAATGCTTCTCTTTGTCGTAGTGTGTCAGTACCTCTGTTCTCGTTATTGCCGAGTAATAATCCATTGTCTTGACAGTACCACATTTTAATTATCCGTTCATCTGGTCACCAGTTATGTGCATAAAAACTTGAAGTGATTTTCTTGACTGGTGCTTTTATTTATTTAAAAAAATTTTAAAAGAAGATTTTATTTATTTATTTGTCAGAGAGAGAGAGAGAGAGCGAGCGTACAAGTAGGGGAGCTAGAGGCAGAGGGAGAAGCAGGCTCCCTGCTGAGCAAGGACCGTAGTGCAGGGCTCCATCCCAGAATCCTGTGATCATGACTTGAGCAGAAGGCAGATGCTTCACCGACTGAGCCACCCAGGTGTCCCTTGACTGGTGCTTTAAAAAAAAAAAAAGAAAGAAAGAAAAAAAGAAAGAAAACCTTTGCTGTTACATTCCCCCACTTGATTACAAACATGCCCAGTTCACTGACTCACTAGAAGTTAGCTGTGATGAAATCCCATGGAGGCGGCTGACCCACCGTAGCGTTGCCCGCATTCGTTCGCAGAGAGCATTCTAGGAAATAGGAGAGACCGAGGAGAGAAAATAGCCCCACCAGTGCAGGTGCTCCTTTCACTTGGCAGGAATGATCAGACAACTGAGTGAAGATGAGAAGAAACGGAAACTTAAGCCTGACGAGGTTATAAATCAGTACCTCTCCTGTGCCCACCATGAGCTGAAGAGGTGTAGGTGCCTGTTGTTTCCAAGTGTGTTCGGTGTGATTCCTTGGTCTTAACTGGCTTGGGTTCGGATTATAAATTATACAAGATCTCCTGAGACGCATCTCTCCCCTAAATGTCCATCACATCTGTATTCTGCATGCCCCCAGGGCAGCGAGCATTTCAGTCATCATTACCATGGTAGCCAGGCATTGTGCTAGGTGCTGGAACAATGAAGATGAATGAGGTACGATCCCTGTTATGTGGGAGCGCCGGTCAGCAAGAGGAGGCATCTCTAAAGCAGATCGTTAATGGGAGAGTTTGGTCAAGGGCTGCAGTAGAAAGAAGTTCAGAATAAGGAGGCACTTAGGAAGGCTTCCTGGTGGAGGGGACCCTTGAGCTAAGTCTCGAATGACCAGTATAAGCTCACGTCCAATGGAGAAGTGAGATGGGGACATGGGAAGGGCGATAAATAGCATGGCCTTTGGCAGGGTAGTCATCATAATAATTATTATATGATTAGTACTCCCCCTGAGTTTTCTGCTGTGTTAGGTTGGTCATGACCTGTCTGCATCTAGAAGGTAATACTGATGATGTAACCCAAGCCTTGGGGGCTGGGTTTGTGCTGTTCACCTGCATTCCTTTCCCTTTAGGGGCCAGATATCTGGAGTTGGCAGGGCAGTTCCTGACTTGTACATTTGACTCAAGTAAACTGACAGGGATTGTTGATTCAATTTTTATTTTTTTTAAATTTTTTTTTAAAAAGATTTATTTATTTATTTATTTGACAGACAGAGATCACAAGTAGGGAGAGAGAGAGAGAGAGAGAGAGAGAGAGGAGGAAGCAGGCTCCCCGCTGAGCAGAGAGCCCGATGTGGGGCTCGATCCCAGGACCCTGGGATCATGACCTGAGCCGAAAGCAGAGGCTTTAACCCACTGAGCCACTCAGGCGCCCTGTTGATTCAATTTTTATATTTGCAGATGATTTGTTTCACGATCCAGGCTGTGGGTTTTTTTTTTTAAATTTTAAAGATTTTTTTTATTTATTTGACAGAGATCACAAGTAGGCAGAGAGGCAGGCAGAGAGAGAGAGGAGGAAGCAGGCTCCCTGCTGAGCAGAGAGCCCGATGCAGGGCTCGATCCCAGGACCCTGGGATCATGACCCGAGCCGAAGGCAGAGGCCTTAATCCACTGAGCCACCCAGGCACCCCTTTTATTAGGTGACCCAGCTTTCAGGAAGCCCTTAAATGTGGGCCTGTGTGAATGTGTAGAGAGAGTAGCATATGCACATCTCATATTTAAGAGTGACCTCTGCCTAGGAAAGAGGGACGTTTCAATATGGGAGAGTATTCTGGGACTCATGGCTCAAGATTACTCACTTACCTAGCCACAGAAGAAGCATTTATGGAGTGTGTACTGGGTACCAGACTCTGAGCTCGGTGCAGGGGGCCAAGGGAGGAGCTGGAAACCAAATTGTGTTGTTGAGGACAGGTGTTAGGTTTGGGCTGCCAATTAGGCTTCCTTCCTGTGAGGGCCAGCTTTTCTCTGGCAGTGGTGGCCTAGAATGCTGGGATGGATTAGTGATGTCTGTTACGAGCACAGATTGGAGAGTAAACGTAGTGCCGGTTATTTGCTGACAATATGTTAGGGTTTTCTGGTGTACGCGGATGACTTGAGTAAAGGTGGGGTATGGGAAAGAGAGGGCATTTGTCTCAGAATCAGCATGTTTGCCTTGGTATGGGGTGTATCTGGAAGCTGCTTTGGATCACTTTGGGGTTGGGTAGGGCTGGAGTACAGATGTTATTAATTATATAGTCTTACAATGCTGCTCATTATGTACTCAGGTACTGTCTCTTAAATGTCTGTAGCCTGTTTCTTTAGGTGTGAAATGGAGATAATACCTGCCTCACCCATATATAATAATGTTGATGGAAGGAGCTAATGAAATAATGGGTATGAAAATAGTTTACTGCCCACAGAGCAGTAAACCCTTGGAGTATTATTACTACAGGTGTGGAGGTGAATGGAACAGGAAATGCCTGAAGTTGGGCAAGGTTGAGCCAGATGGTGATGGCGTCAGGTCCTTTGCATTGGGTCCCTCTGCCTAGTCTGCTGTGTCTGTCACATCCAGGTTATGACTCCAAGTTACCTCCACTCAGGCCCCAGAATCTAAGCCTGTTCCTGCTGTGTCTTCACTTACCACCTCATCTGGTCTTATTTTCTTCAGAGTTCCCATTAACTGAAATGGTCCAGTTAGCATCTTTGTGTATCTCCCTCTGCTAGAACCATGCACATGTGGTGAGGCAGAGACCATGCTCTTTGTATCCTCAGAGCCTAGAACAGTAGTGCCTGGTACATAGGAAGAGTTCAGGATTTATTGTTAATATTTTTTGAGGGGAGAGGGCATGGGAGAGCACTAGCACAAGTGGGGTGGGAGGGCCAGAGGGGAAGAGAATCTTCAGCAGATTCCACGCTCAGCGTGGAGCCTGATGTGGGGCTTGATCTCATGACCCTGAGGTCATGACCTGAGCCAAAATCAAGAGTTGAACGCTTAACCGACTGAGACACCCAGGCGCCCCAAAGATTTAACGCAGGTTGTGTGAGCAAATGGAAGGGCCTTAAAGTCTACAGACTCAATGGGCCTAGGTGCCCAGGAGCCCTGGGAGGATTGTAAAGAATAGAAGGTAGAAAAAAAAAAAAGAATAGAAGGTAGTAGCTCTGACTTCATCTCTTTGCCAAGATGTTTGTGAAGCTCTTATTTCTTTGGTTATTGAGAAATACAATTAATTGAATCCACAGTAGTAACTTAATTGAAAGTTCATTCCATCAAGTCTGGATCTGACTTCACACTATAATCCCTTACAACAAAACAAAGAACAAGAATCAGAATTCATAAACTTTTTTTTTTAGTGTATGTAACAGGGCATGAAATTATACAATGTTTCCAATTTGGCAGGCTGCTGCATTCAATCTCTGGAAAGATAATCTGGTTCCTTAAACTACATGCAGTATGAATTAGAGTTGGAGTTTGTGAATTGAATACAATTAGCAGCCCGCCCCTCCCCACACCAGACTGATTTGGTTTTAAATTGGCTTTCAGTTTTTTCTCCTCTGCTGGCTGGCACCAATTCCATTTTCCCTCCTTTCTTGTGAGTTGTTACTATGCTTTCAAGAGTCTCATGAATATAGCTAGGCTGTGTAGGGCTTCCTGCAGGTATGTGAAATGAACACACATGGAGAGGGGTGTGCTGAGGGGTCCAAGTCAATTCCATGTCAGTTACCGGTCCATAAATCCAGGTGTCAGGTGTGTGCACCTACCAGAGGTTTAGAGCTGGTGACTCACCCCCTTCCAGGAGGTGCCGGGGCTACCCTGGTTGTCTCTCTCCCTGCACAGGTGGACTGATGAATCACTGCTTCTCTCGCAGGGTAACCTGTCTGTGTGCCCAGTTTGAGGCCGTCCTGCAGCATGGCCTGAAGAGGAGCCGGGGATTGGCGCTAACGGCAGCCGCGATCAAACAGGCAGCAGGCTTCGCCAGCAAAACGGAAACAGGTACTGCTTGGCCTGCTGCAGGGCGGAGGATGTAGCCTTTTCTAAAAAGTTTTTATTTGGTTTTTAAGAGCGGGCAAGGCAGGCATTGTGTGGGATGGGGCAGCCTGATGGTGCAGAAATCCGCGTGTGACGCTGTCTTACCTGTTGCCCTTTACAGAATCCTCAGAGCCCCGTGTTCATCTCTGGGGGCTCAGGGTCCTGCAGCCAAGGTGCTTATGTCACCAGTGCCATGTGGCAGTTGCTGGGAGATCGATGATGTGTTTTAATTCCGGGCATGGGGATAGCAAGACATTTCGTAACTAAATCTGCTTTCAACACCAGCAGCAGGAAGAGCAGAATCAGTAGGTATCTGAGTGGACAGCTCTGCTACCATCCGTTTTAGTGTCGTCCAAGTAGTGTGCCGTGCTCCTGTGTGTCTGGAGGACAGGGACAGTGCTGATAATCTCTGCTAACACGTAGGAGTGCTTTGCACAAGACTGGAACTTCGTTAGTCTTTTATATAAATAAACTCATTCAGCTTTCATGACAGCCTTATGAGTAGTAGGGCTTTCATTTTCTCTACTGTACAAATGAGGAAGCTTTTAAAGGGATGTGCTCTGGATCTGGACCTAAAAGTGTATCATGTCATATAAGAAACATTCTATGTCCTTCTTCCCCAACATTTTTTTTTTTTTTTTTTTTTGAGAAGGAGTGTGAACGGGTGTGTGGGAGGGGGGCAAGGGCAGATGGAGAGGGAGAAAGAATCTTTGTTTTTTTTTTTTTTTAAAGATTTATTTATTTATTTATTAGAGAGAGAGAGAGAGAGAGAGAGAGGGAGAGAGAGAGCGTGCACACATGAGCAGGGGCAGGGGAAGAGGGAGAAGCAGGATCGCCAGTGAGCGAGGAGCCTGATGTGGGACTCGATCCCAGGACCCTGAGATCATGACCTGAGCTGAAGGCAGGTGCTTAACCGACTGAGCCACCCAGGCATCCCAGGGAGAAAGAATCTTAAGCAGGCTCCACGCCCAGCGCAGAGCCCAGTGTGGGGCTCAATCACATGACTGAGATTATGACCTGAGCCAAAACCAAGAGTCAGATGCTTAACTAACTGAGCCACCAGGTGCCCCTCTTCCCCAGCATTTTAAAGAGCAGGCTTTGGGGCACCTGGGTGGCTCAGTGGGTTAAGCCTCTGCCTTCGGCTTGGGTCATGATCCCAGGGTTCTGGGATGGAGCCTGCATCGTGCTCTCTGCTCAGCAGGGAGCCTGCTCCGCCCCCCACCCCCACCCCGCCCTCTGCCTGCCTCTCTGTCAAATAAATGAATAAAATCTTTAAAAAAAATTATAAAGAGCAGGTTTTTTCAGACCCTACTTGGGATTGCTGCGCCAAATTCCTGACTCTTGTTATTGTGATGTCCGTGTCACTGTTAGTGCCCCTCGTTCCCAGCTGACCAGCCCTCGCCGTGTCTGGTGGAGGTGTCTGTTGGGCATTGTCTGCCAAACAAGCCCTTTTTGTTACTTGGGACTGGTAGTCCAAGGAGCACCAGCACGTCTGTGAGGCACCACCAGCGTTCCCATTCTTGACCTCTCCTGTCTCAGCACGATTTCAGCACCACCTCCTGAAGAGAGACTGACCAGCGAGCAGAGTCTCTTCCTTGTTTTCTGCTGCGGAGAGGTTCTGGGCGGCTTCCCTGCCGATTGGGAGCAGGGGAAAGGCCAGGCTAGCTTTGCTCTCGAGGGGGTTGCCGAGGGCTTCTGTCGATCTTTCCTGCGGTGCAGTTAACCATTCACTGGTGCTGGACGGTCCTTGGCTAATGAAATTCCCCCACTATGGAATGTTTGATTAAAAACCTCCTACGGGGAAGGGGCATGGGTGGGTTTTCAACTGTTAGGAGTCGGGAAAGATCAGATAAGTGGCTGCTTGGTCGCTCTTAAAGCCATCAGAGTGACTGTGGCAGGCCAAATGAGAAAATGAAATCGGAAGAGGAGGCGTGGATGGGAATGAGCTTGCCTGTTTTCCCTTGTCCCTGCTGGCTGCTGGCCTGGGCCCTTTCTGTAGCTTAGGACTTAATACCAGGCCCTAGAGTTGGGTGATGGGGTTGAAATCCCCGCTCTGTGACTCGTCACACATGAGCGCTCTGGGACATCCCCTCTCTGAGCTTCTGGTTCCTCATGCATAATAAAATAAGGCCACACACAGGACTGGCTCCCAGTGTTGTGCTGGGGGCTCCTGAGAAAGCACCTGCAAAGCCCAGGCCTCAGTACAGAGCTCCCGGGGCTGGTGCTGGATAACATGGCAGCAACTGGCCAGTTCTTGGATCCATTGCACTGAAGCCCAGATAAGTTCCTACGTTGTTCAAGTTCCCAGAGCTAGTAAATGGATTCTAGCCCAGGTCAGACTGATGTCAGATTCCTGGCTCTTCTCTGAGCCCTGCTCCGCCGGCTGTGGCCCGATGCCCACTGCTGTTCCTCTGTAGACCACTCTCACTCAATTAGCTGGATTGAAAGTGACAGGAGACCATAAGTAATGGTGTATTAATCCACAGGGCTGTTGCAGTAGCTCCGTTTACAGATGGGAAACATTACCCTTAGAAGAGAGAAGAGCTGAATTCAAAGTAATGACTGAGCAAACGAGATTGTTGGAAATCACGCTGTAGTAGATAATACCGAGCCCGCCGGGGCGGGACTGTGGTTGGTCATCTGGGGTGAGGGTTGCCTGCATGGCTGAGTTCGGAAACTGGTGCCCTTGTATGGTGTCCACATTTATAAATTATGATATTTCCTGTTGAAATATGAATTGCTAGTTTTTGTTCACCTTGAGGATCTGTGGCTCTGAGCCCACGTTTCCTGCTCGCTGTGGTTGGAACCCACCGCCCTATGCAGAGGGGCCCCATGCTCTAGTCCCCCATGCTCTGTACCTCTCCCTCCTGCCCCTGACAGCTTAGACAAGCGCTGTTGTCATTTTTGTCCCGCTGTTGTTCTTCCCATTGTTCTCATGTGAAATTTAGCAGTTTTCAAGTACAAACACCTCTCAGATGATAAGCCTTTGAAGTCCGTTTCTGGAGCGTGGAAATGGTTATCACTTTTGTCCACTTTTATAGTCGCTTTCTGGGGAGAGGATCTGTTAACTTCCTCCTTGGCTGTATAGCCAGGGGTCCCTTGTTTTTGTTTCTTTGTTTGTTTTTTGCTTTCGTCTTGATTTTGAATCCGTCCTTGTCTTTGGCATGTGCCTGGTGGCGGAGACCGAGTACGGTGTGTGAAGAGATGGGTGAAGCTTGTGATGATTCATCCTTCTTCAGAGGGGGGTCACTCCTGCCGCTCAGGCAGATGAGGTAGAGGAAGATCAGTTTACTCCCATCCAGGATGGAGCCTTTCACGCCTGGGCTTCAGCATTTGCAAGAGCTGACGTATTTCTGCTTTTGCCTTATTGCCAGGACGTAGTGATTTGGGGTTTCCCAAGTGTATTCATTTCTTGGAGCTGCCGTGACAAATTTACACACCTTCGTGGCTTAAGACCGCAGGAGAAATTGATCCTCTCACATTTCTGGAGGCCAGGAGTCCAAAATCTAGGCGTTGGCAGAGCTGATTCCTTCTGGATGCTCTGAGGGAGAAAGCCTTCCCAGCTTCCGGTGGTTGTCAGCCGTCCTTGGCACCCCGTGCTTGTGGCCGCTTCCCTCCAGTCTGGGCCTCGGTCTTCTCATGGCCTCTTCCCTCTGGGCCTCTGTCTTCATGTCCTCTTTTCAGAAGAACAACAGCCCTGCTGGATTTTGGCCCACCCTCCTCCAGTAGTCCCTCAGCTTAACTAAGTACATCTGCAAAGAGCCTTTTTCCAAATAAAGTCGCACTCTGTGGTTTCAGAGGGACATGGATTTTCGGGGGACGCTTCAATCCAGCACACCCTGGATCCCTGAGCTGTTAACCAGTTTCCGTCCTCCTCTGCTGGTTCTGAGCTCACATTTTTTCCCTTCCAGACCTCATGGGAATTCTGAAAGCCCTGCTTCACTTTTCATCAGACAAACTCTGTAGCTGCAAGAAGCCTCGAGGGCCAAGTAAGGCTCCGAATGTAGGACTCCTGTCTGTGGGCTTGCCTTCTCTTGGGGATCTGGGTTCTTTGTTACTTGCCTTTGTAGCACTCCCAAGTCCCCAGCTTTATTTTAATAACCGTTTAAATAACTGCCCAGCTTTTTCCCTTGTTTTTGCGGGAGACGTTGTCTGATCTGGAGTCATCTTCCAAAGCTGAACGCGGCCCTTCGAGGCCACACTCTGCGTGCCTTTTCCTCTTGCTGCACCGCAGCCTGCGTGTGCGGCCGTGTCCGTGGCTTGTCTGGAGATCAGGTGGCAGGTGTTCCTTCCGTGATAAACTGTAGCCTGGGCAACGGAGCTTACAGGCAGAGTCCCTCCAGTTCTGGGAGGTTTTTAGCCGGTGCCTGCATCCATCCTCCATTCCCGAGCTGGCTTGTTTGTTTGGTGTTTTTGTTTTGTCTTTGTTTTCGCTTTAGCATTTGGGTTTCATATGTTTGTTTGTTGGTTGGTTTATGTGTTTTTGACTTGGGGTATTTTGTGTTTTGACCCAGACATCCCTGAGTTAGGGAACGTTGGTAGCATGGCTGTGATTACAAACAGGCCACCAGCTCAGCTTTGTCAGCATTGTCGGTGGGCTTGGGAAGTGGTGTCCCTCCCCAGCTGAGATCCCCTTGAATCGATGGTGCCAACAGCTGGGGTACGCAGGACCCAGAGAGGCTTGGGATGAGGTTATGCAGTGTGTCTCCTCTGGGATTCAAGCGCCAGAAGCGAGAGTCTGCTGCGTCCTGGGGTGCTTTTTCCTCTTAGTTGGACGAGTGGCTAGATTTATCTCCGCAGGTGATTGATTTGGTGGTGGTCAGATGGGAGTCTGCATTTCCAGAGTCTGGTCCTGCCGTCTGCGTCTCTCTCTTCGAGTTACGTAGGTTTGCGTGAATAATTACAGCAGGAATTGGTCATTCCTTATCCAGCAGCTCTGTCCCTTCTTTCTTGCTAATGGAATT